TGTGAGAACTTTCTCCTGCAGGAGGAAGAACCCAGTGAGTGAGAAAGACAGCGAGCCCATCAATAATCCTTTTTACAGACACAGGAGCCCACCTGACTCTGCAGGATGGACAGGTGTGGCGGCCACTGTGGGCGGAGCTTTTGGAGCTGCTGCCCTGGTTTCTGTGGCTCTGTTTGCATTTTGTCAGAGAGAATTTATCCGGAAGAGCATTAAGAAGCTCGAAGGCAGGAATTCTGTCCCACAGATGTCAGTGACGTGTAACTCTGTGTAAAGCATCATCAGCCTGCGTTTGTTGTTTGTGCGTTAGAAACTGTGACCTGCTGCAGGAGAGAAACATGCAGATAAACTGACGGCATCATGAACGTTTGTTATTTAACAGCCACCTCTGTCTGAGCAGGAACTCTGAACTGTTCAGTGTTTTAGTGAAAACAAACTGCAGAACTACCAGTAACAGATTTTTAATCTCAGTGAGATTTTCACCTGGATAAATAAAGGAATAAAAAAATCTCCTTGTTTTCTGTCCTCTGATTCTTCTGGAGCAGCTTTGCATGAGTCAGAGTTTCAACTTTTATCGTACACCAGCGCCTCAGCTCTGAGCTGCTCTCAGGTTGCTCCCCATCATAGTATGAATGTTTGTGAATGTTAGATGAAAAGCACTCGAGCATAGAAAGAGGCTGTTTGGTCCTGGACATATCTATCTATCTATCTATCTATCTATCTATCTATCTATCTATCTATCTATCTATCTATCTATCATAATAATAATAATAATAATAATAATAATAAACCTCTAAGACAAATCAAAAACATTGGAACCTAAACCACAGATCATAACAGGCGAACAGCATATATGATACAGTGTTACAGTTCAGTGTCCACAAAAACAAGAAGGTCTTACAGCATCATCTGTCCTTCAGCAGCCAGTTTCATTACAGTTTTTCTCAGTTGCTTTGGTGCATTTCTCACAACAGAATTAAACTTTGCACCACTACTAAGGCTCTTCTCAAAACAATTAGTGCAAACTGCAAAACATGGTGGATAACTTGCAAAAGTGAGTCACTTCATCAAAAAG